AGGTAAGTGTTTGGTTTAACCCTAGCTTGAGGGAATAGGAGTTGAGTCTTGTTTGCTATTCGCTAATTGATCGAGTACGGTGTATAGGCATGGTGACGAGTATCTATACACTGGTGTCTTAGCATGACCGTGGTCCGTATATTGTGTTTATTCCTATTTTGTTGTGTGACCCTTCCTCGTGTAATTGATGAACTCTATATAATGTGAAGGAGTATAGAAAGAATTATGATTTGTGAACTCTTTGGAGCGTTGGCTCGAATTGATAAATAATTATTGAGTAAGAAAAGAAAGAGAGAAAGAATTGTGATTATTCCCTTGCAGGGGGCGTATCCGTATATTGATTACCTCCCTTGCCGGGATGTGAAAGTTATTTATGTTTTTCCCTTGCCGGGATTTAACTGTTTACTTGTGTTTCCCTTGCGGACTTCTATTACTGTTTGTCTATCCCCTCGCCCCATGGTTCGGTTTGATTGTTGTTTGGGTGAGGAAGAGTTGCATAAAGCACGAAGGTTGATGCCGTGCAGACTTGTGTTGAGAATATGTTAATGCACGAAGGGACATTCCGTGCCAGTTTTGATTATTAATGCACGGAAGGAACATTCCGTGCCCTGATTTGATTATTAATGCACGAAGGACATTCCGTGCCCTGATTTGATTACTATTGCACGAAGGAACATTCCTGCCATATATGAGTGTTTATGCACGAAGGATCATTCTGTGCCATCATTTTGTGAGGTGAAAAGCACGAGGGTGATGCCGTGCACTATATATGATTGTTTGGGTGAGAATGAGAGTAAAAAGCACGAAGGGTGGTGCCGTGCAATGTCGATTTTCCTACTCTCGTTGATATTATAGTTGTACTAGTTTCATTCCTTAATTATTTGATTTTATACTGAACTGTTACCGCCCCCTACAGCATTGCTCCCCCTCCCCCTTGACTGGTTAATTTCTGTATACCTTTATATTGCATACATATATATTGAACTGCACAGGTTGTTTGGTAGTCCGATCTAGCCTCATCACATACTTCGCCGGGTTAGGCCAGTCACTTACCAGCACATGGGGTCGGTTGTGCTGATGCTACACTATGTGCATCTTTTTGCACAGATCACGGTGCCGGAGCAGCTTTTACAGCAGTAGAGTTTTGGGAGCTGCTTCAGTCCAGAGATCCCGAGGTAGCCTTGCTGGCGTCCGCATGGCCCGGAGTCTCTTCTATCTTTTACTTTAGTTTGTTATCCTTTGTACCGGAACAAACAGAACTATATTTTTATTCAGACATATGTATTTAGCATTCTCTAGACGTTCGGAGTTTGTGACTCCAGTTCTTGGGTAGAATTTTATTGAACTTCCGCGTTGCTACCAGTTTATTTATATTTAAGACTTTCGCTTTTCTATTAAATGTTTCGCTGTTTTATTAATGTCGAGGTTTGCTAAAAGAGGTAATAAAATAATTGGCTTGCCTAGCTCCTAATAGAAGGCCCATCACGACTCCCGAGGGTGGAAATCCGGGTCGTGACAGTTTTCTCCCTCCAACATCCACCCCCTCTTCCCCAACGTATCTTGCACAAGAAAGCAGTCAATTCCACCATGACAATCATTAAAAGCTTTGAAGCTTCGAATTCGAATTTGGGTTTTTAAAAAATATTATTTGTTTGAATTGGATATTGTTGCAAAGATTTGAGAATTCTCTCTACGTCTCTCTCTATCTCTCAATCCCTAATTTTAGTAATGTAAAGCAAAGGAAAAGAGAGCAGCAATTCCACCATTGACAACCATTAAAAAGCTTTGAAGCTTTGAATTCGAATTTGAGTTTTCAAAAATCATTATTTGTTTGGATTGGGTGTTGTTGCAAAAAATTGGAAATATGATTTGGAGCTTATATCTCTATTTTGAGGGATTTTGGTGAAGATTAGACTTGGTTTTGGCTGATTTTGAGATTGAAATTCGAAGAAGAAGACGAAGAGACATGATATACATTATATTTACGAAATTGTAGTAAAATAGTAGAAAAATTGTAGAAAAATTGTATTCTGTTGATTATATATTTTTCTTTTATTTATTTAGCTGTTGTATGAAAGTTGAACAATATTGTATAAAAATTATATTTAAGTTGTATGATATCCCAGTAGAAATAATGTATGAAAATTGTAGATAAGTTGTATAATATATAATTAGTTGTATGAAATTTATTTTTACTATGTATAAATCAGATACCAAATATACAAAAGACATATTGTATAAAATTTGTATTTAAGTTGTATGTTATTGTAGTTGTATTTAACTGGGTAGAAATAATGTGTGAAAGTTGTAGATAAATTGTATAATATATAATTAGTTGTATGAAATTTGTTTTTACTATGCATAAATCATATACATAATATACAAAAGACATTATATAAATTTTGTATAAAATTTGCATTTAAGTTGTATGTTATTGTAGTCGTATTTAACTGGATATCTTTAAAGACTTGCACAGAAATATTTTTCCCTTAGGAAAAACTTCTACTATACAAATTGGTTGGATCACCAAAATTAGGATTTTCATCGAAATCTAGAGAAGTAAACACACAAAGAAGTCTAGGCGATTCAACACATAGTATATTTACATTAAAGACAAGTGAAATTTGGACATAAGTTTAAAACAGTTGAACTTAAGACACTAAACTTGACAGTACAAACTGTTTGACCATTATTTGTATACCAAGTATGTCTTCTTCTTATGTTCTTCATCATGTCTTTCTCCACCACCAAACTTCCACTTCATATTTTTCATTGTAATTCGTTGCTCAGTATATCAAAATTAGATAGAAAATAGCTGAAGTTAATTAAAAGCTTCTATATATCGTCGTCAACTCAATACAACCAAGAGATTAGGGGATACAATAGTCTAATAGCTTGTTTGCCGAGCTTCTCAAATCCTATAAGCACTAAAAAAGTGTTTTTTCCCAAAGTTGAACTGTTTGGCCAAACTTTTGGAAGAAAAAAAAGTGCTTTTGAGGAGAAGCAAAAGCAGTCTTGGAGAAGCAGAAAAAAATAGCTTTTTTCCAAAAGCACTTTTGAGAAATGTATTTCAAATTAATTAGCCAAACACAAATTGCTTCTCTCCAAAAACACTTTTGAAAAAATGGAGAAGGGTCAAATATGCCCCTATACTATTGAAAAAGGTTTAATACTACCATCCATTATACTATCAGTCCAAATATATCACTAACGTTATACTATCGGTCCAAATATATCCCTGACATCATGAAAGTGGTACAAACCTACCCTTCCTCCGTTAACTGCCTCCCCTATGAAAACATTTGATTGCTACTTCACCATTTCACCCTGTTTGCAGCTACCAAGTTCAATTACTTTGAAGTTCTATCATTATTTTGAAGACTTCACTGCCTATACTTCCTCTTGCTTTTCAAAATACCTGTTGCTTCTCCCGCTGACCCTGGAATTGTACGTACCTTTCACTTGACCTTACAATTTTGTGTTTTATTTTGCATATCCTTGTGTTGCCGTTGAATTTGCAAGACCTATTTAGGGAAAATTTAGTAGCACTTTTATTTTAACATAAAACGTAAAGAGAGAAAAAATGGTAGCCTTCCAGAAATGTGGTTGAAGAGAAAGAAACAAAAAAAATTAACTCTCGTGTCTAGGTTGTTTTTCTTTCTCACCATGGTCAATTTTGAAACCTTAAACTAGTTTGCAGTATCTTTGCTTAGTTTTTTATATAAAACAAAATATATTTTCGTTCGTATAAGCATGAATTTTGAATAGCAAAATCAGAATTTTTTCGGGTTCACATCGTTTCATATTATCTGTAGTTGTTAGCATTTCTTTTGATATAGTTTGTTTGTATATCTATGATCTGTGATTTTTCTTTAAATGAACGGGAAAGAAAGGTTGTGGGGAGGGATGAAAATGGGAGTATAATGGTGATGTGGCAATGAAATGTTGTCATAGGGAGGCAGTTAACGGAGGAAGGGTAGGTTTGTACCACTTTTATGATGTGAGGGATATATTTGAACCGATAGTATGACGTTAGGGCTATATTTGGACTGATAGTATAACGGATGCCAATATTAGACCTTTTTCAATAGCATAGGGGCTTATTTGACCCTTTTCCGTTGAAAAAAATACTTTTGAGAAAAAATACTTCTCAAAATAAGCGTACAGCTTGGCTAAACATGCTGTAAAGAGATACAGAAAAGTGGACCTTGCTTTAGAACCAATGATGTTATATTTGGAAGAAGACTAGAAATGCATCGAAAGAAGCAGTGCAACAGTCGAAGCAGAGCAAAATGACTAAAATTTAAATACGGTGTAAACTATGAGTATGTTTTAATTGAAGGCACTAATAATGGATTGAGAGCTTTTTTTAATGTGGAATGTATATATTTTGTAAACAAAACTTATGTAGGTAGGATAATTTATTAAACATAAATATTTAGGGTAATAAAGTTTCCAATGATGTATAGAAATGAAAAAAAACCCAATAAAAAAATCAAACACGTGAAAGGCTAATTTTTGCTCAAAGAAGGGCAGCAAACGTATCAAAAATATCAACCCCCACTACTGAGCCTGAAAGCAACTTCTTCTTTAATATTCTAAAGCATGGCAATAATTTCTAACTTATTGCTTTCATGATAATAATTAAAAAGATAGGTTGACCCCGTGTTACTTTTTCTATATTTCCTTCTTTATCTTTAAGGGGCAAAAAAATCATACATATAATAAAATAATTAACAATATCTTAAGGTGGTTGGATAAGATTGGATGCATGTAGTGATCAAATATCTAATTTACACCATCGAGGACTGCGGTGAGGGTTGAAATTCATTCGCCTTAATCACAAATTTTGGTTCAAACTCTGAAAATGAAAAATCTTTTAATAAAGAGCAGTTTACCTAGCTAACACCAATGTAAATTAGTTGGGTTAGTTTTGAATAGCGAATTGTTAAATAAAATATAATAAAAACCTACCTAACAAAATCATATACTCACAGTGGTAGTGCAAAACGTGATTCAACAATTCGCCTTCTGACTATTACAACATCACCAGCCCTTTAATATATAGCATCAAAGTACTAATAACTCTTGATATACAATATCACAAACTTTAAATCACATTAAAAATTCAAACATACAACCAATGTAATGAATACAAACACTAATAAATGAAACAGCCTGTCCAGAATTCTGTACTGAAGCACGCAAGATTCACGAAAACTTAACCCAAAAAAAAAAAAATTACAACTTTAAAAGTAACACATCTTGATTCATAGGAACCAGCAACATTAGCAGAAATGGAAGTTCCACATCTTTACCTGTCAAGAATACAGTAGGAAAAGGATTGCACGTATAAGATATGACTTTTTAGCAAATTGGCATAATACTCAAAGAACAACTTGTATTTACACCAAACCAATCATAACATAATATGTCTTTTATATACAATTTTATAACTTAATATGGTTAAAAAATGTGTGCTTTCACTTTAATTTATTATTTAACAAATAATATAATTATGGTGTAAAAAAAAATTTCATGCTACTACTCCATCCTTCAAGGTAAAAAGTACTATTTTTTTCTGATATGTTAGGAAAAGCAAAAAAAAAAAAAAACAAAAAAAAAACGTAAAAGATATTTCATATATTCAACGCAGACGGGGGGGGGGGGGTTGGTGGTGGTGAAGAGATGGTAGAATTTGAGTAAAATTACCATGTGGGGAAAGGTGATCAGTCGTTCTTGGTAAGGACCCAAATAGCATAGATAATACCAGGCAGCCATCCAAAGAGAGTCAGCAAACAACAGATCCAGAATTCACACTGTTTTTACCAATTAACACAAACACAACCATAAGTAACGTTATCAGGTTAAAGTTTTTCACACACAAGTAAACAACCTGCGGTTATAATCATAAAGTTTCCGAATTCCCTTTTCACTAACATGAACGACGACATTTTAGAGTCATAATAAGTCGATGAGCAGTAATTTTTAATCTTTCACCTCTTGGCAGGGTGTTATTTGTTTTTTTTAACAAGAATAGAGTACCATTGGAGACAGTCGAGCTGAGCCCCGTTATAACCACAGTATTACAAATTCGAATCCTAAAAAAGCTATATATATCTAGTGGCTCATCCTACAACTTTACTAATGATGTAAAAAATAAAAAAGTTGGACAAGATACATACACCAAAATATTGGGGATGTAACTTTATACACACTGATAATGTAAAACTTATGCGTCACAGATCAAAGCTGCACGACTTACAGAAGTAAAACAGAGAATTGAAGGATACCTTGCAGCCAAATTTGAGAAAGACACCAAGGGGAGGCAAGATGATAGCCAAAAGAATGTCTATGCAAGTCATCGCACCCATATTTTTTATTATTCAATAGAAATTACACAGGAAAAGAAGAAAGGACAAGGGGCATATACTGGGGAAAGAGGATATTAAGGACTGGCCAAAGTGATTTCACAGAAACTGAAATGGGGAAGTGGCTGCTGCTATATAGAGAAAGGAGATACCCCCCACGTCCATGTGTTGTATGTTTATTCGATAAAAGACGATATTTTTCTATGTTTACGCGGAGGCTTCTTGTTACCTTAATCTCATCACTTCTTTTACTTCCTGGTTTGCCTTTTGACTAATTCGGTACTCTTCCCATCCAATTCATGTGGTTAAATTGGAACATTTAAAAAGGAGTGAAGATTTTTGAAATTTGCATAATCTTTTTATGATTGTAAAAATATATCATTATAGGTAAGATAAAACAATTTAACATTAAATTATTTTTAAATACCTACAAATGTTTTTTATTTTAGAACAAATTAATAAAAAAAGTAACATCACATAAAAGAAATAGATACAATTTCAGCTAAAGAGTTCTCAATTTCTATGTCTTTCGTCTGGTTGCTTTGAACACTTGCTTTGTAAATTTCAAATTAAAACCCAACAGCTCATTCTCATTTATCTGGACAACAACGTTAGGTTTAGGCTGTCCCATGTGGCCCCGTACGTCTTCATTTATCATCATCTTCTTATGGCCGAACACACCAATTGAATCTTTCTCGATGGCACTGCACTGTACCTTTCAACGTTCCAACTCTCAATGTAGACACTAGCTTGAAAAAAAACAAAAGAATCACTTACAAATAGTATTTATATGAATTATTATTAATCAACAAACGACATGCATCTTTAATATACAATCTATTGTTTACCCAGAGTTAATGCTATTCCTGAGCCAAGGATCAATTGGAAACAACCTCTCTATCCTCATAAAATAGGGGTATGGTCTATGTACACACTACTTTCCCCAGACCCTACGGTGTGAAATAATACTGAATATGTTGTTGTTGTTGTTGTAACCAGAGTTAATGCTATATATTTTTATCTTAATTTGTCATTTAACCGTGCTAAATTAATACGATGTAGTGTAACATCAAGTATATATAAGTAAGTATTTTGCTTTCACCGGTGACGCACGCATAAGCTCCAAATAAGTACGAAGTACTTTAGTATAAAAGGTAATTTTAAATTAAAAGTAAGGAATTTGTATCCTCATTGGTTTTATGACCCTGTAAAAGGTGGATTAATCAAAATTGAGCACTTGCCTCTTTTTGAAGACTGACCAGAAGTCTAGAACCAAGCTTCCGTTTTGATGAATAATATTCCACTGCTCTTATATCTAATTTATGCTTTGTGTTTTCAGAACTCGATAGTGACATGCAATTTGGCATTAACATACGAGTATAAACTTCGGACGTACGGGTATAAACTTCGGAAGCACGGGTATAAATTTCAAACTTACAAGTATAAACTTCATATATTTGAAGTTAGGCTAAGCCTAACTTCAGACCCGTATGTCTGAAGTTAGCACAGCTATGGGCTAACTTTAGACCCCGAATCTGAAGTTTTTCAAGGACTAAAATTAGATCCATCTAATATGTCAACTCTATTTTTGTAGAGAAAAAGAGATTGAACACACTTCATATTTGAATTGGTAACGTCGAATGTTAGAAGAAATTGTTACTTTGGTTCCTCAATCCTTCTCATCTATGGTGGATTCAAAGGCAGAGAATAAGTTAATGGTAGAAAGGGAACCTATATTGGTAAAATAGGGGCAGGACACGTGGATGTAATAACAAATTATACCCGGAAAGAATCTCTGAGTCAGAACTTACATACTCAACTTATTTAGGTTATCAACCGGATAGTCATAAGAGGCAATTTGCTCTGGACCAACAACAACCGGAGACAAAACGGTTAAAGCTCAGAACAATCCACCTGGAGAATCCTATGAGTATCCGGATATAGCCTTTTTAGACGAACAAACTCTGAGATACTCGAGATTTTCCATTTAAATCCCGAGCGATTAAAAATCTACTAGGGGTAACATAGGAAACGTGCTGATAATGCCCATAACGAGCAAGCAAAATTATAGGGAGCCATTTATTCTAAGGTTTAACTATAAATAGACCTCTTATTATCTCATGTTAGGCGGTCTGAAATATCCTCAAGTATAACATTATGACAAGCTAGTGCTCATTTTAAAATAGGCTCAATCAATAAAAATTCCTCTTCTTTGCTTTATATTGCTCAATATTATTTATTATTTTATTTATGTCATTTCACACTTATTCTAATCATTATATAAAGGAAGAACACTTTGACTTTATTTCAATTAATTGAGGCCTTCTATTACAAATTTGATTAATTTAACTTAAAATCAGATCTTAGGTTAAACAGTTTGGGGTCCACAGTAGGGTCTTAGCAATTATTCCAGTAAATTCTAAGTACCGTTGTTAAAGAAGATTAAGAAGCAGAACGAGCGCATAAACCGGATTCCAGGGGTTCCACCGGCGATTGATAAATGAGGGTTTTGACAACTTATTAGCACTTTTTTTGCTCTTGTCTTAGTCCGAAAGTATTGAATTGTGTTCTCGAACCTAATGAAATTGTGAAAATTGCAGGAACGCTGAAAGTTTGGCCTATAAGTGATGAAATCCGACTAAAAAAGGAGTGTTCCGAAGCACAAGGCAATAAAGGCACATAAGCAAAGATGTGCGGTCCGCACTGACAAGTATTTTCAAGTTCAGAGAATGTGCAGAAGACCAAGTCGTGACACTTTGCAAAAGTGCTGACCACACGAGAATTGTGCGGCCGCAGAGAGTGCTTCACAGCCGCAGTCCAGAAATGTGCGGCTGCAGAATCCTCCTTCTTACCAACTGAAGAAATCTGCGGACGGCACATGGAATTGTGCGGCCGCAGAACCTCCCGAGGGGCATTTTTGTCACCGATTTTTGGCCCAGAATAAATAGACGAGTTTTACAAATTTAGGTCAAGTTTGAACGTTAAAAGGTGCTGTAGCCATTTCCTTTTACCATTTTAGGAAGTTTTAGATTATTTGAGTGTTCACACATTAGATTTCATCATCTTAATCTTTCATTATGAGTTTAATTAACTTTTCTTCTTTATCTTCTTCAATTCCTATTATGAGTAGCTAGATTTTTACTAGGGTTATGACCTAACCCTAGTGTGTAAACCTTATGGGTATTTAATTTAATGTTTCTTTATGATTGGGTGTTAATTATTTAGCTTAGTTCATGCTTCAATTTTAGAATTAATGGTTGCAAACATTGTTTCATGGCTTTTTGACTTAGTCTCTACTTGATAAAGAAGGACCTAGTCTTGGATAACTTAGCTAACAAGGAACTGGGCTAATTGACAGATTGATTAGCCTAATTAAAGGGTTCAAATCAGAGATAGTAAGAACCCGACTTGAGCTCGTATCAACTAAGTTGTTTGATACCCATTTGGACTTGAGAAAGCCAAATTGAACAAAATCACTCTCTGACCAAGATGTATTGAGTGGGTAATGTAGAGTTGAGAGCTATAATACACCCCATTCAACAAAATAAGCATTAACGTCTTTATCCCATTAAGTGAACACCTAGGTTATGGCCACATCCCTAGGCTTTTAAACTATTTGAAAAAATACCAAAAATATTCATCTCTTGTCTATTTTACATAGCTTGAAATCATTAGAGTAATATTAGAAGTAGAAATCAAAACCTTGTTGTGGAAGTGCAATTTCAGGTAGTCCATTCGCTTGCTTCAAATATATACTCCTAACACCCCTCATAATTCTCCGTGAGTTCAATCCCAACTCATATTTGGGTAATTTATATTGCATACGACAGTATCATATCTCTTATCGAGGTGTGTTGTGGGCGTCATCAATTTTTGGCGCCGTTACCGGGGAGTTAAAACGGTGTTAGCTATATATTTGGGTTTTTCTTTGGAATATCTTCTTTTCCTTTGTTACTAACTTGTGTGAAACAATTTTAGGCACAATTATGGTAGTGAACAATAAACTCGGAAATATTCCTTGGGGGGGTGCGGACGTGAAGGATGAGCAATTTGAGGAGGTTCCTCTAGAACCTCAGGCCAATAGAAGAGGCAGGGTGCCTCATGACAATGTCCCCACTCCACCCCCACCTTCACCACGAGTGGCTTCACACGGGGTGTTACCCAATGAAGGATATGCTAGTACAATAGTCCCTCCCTATATTAGGGCGAGCAACTTCCAAATCACCAATGTGATGCTCACTTTGCTTGAGCAACGGATTTTCTTCACCTGTACTCCAACTCAAAATGCGTATAAACATTTGAAGGGGTTTGTGGATACTTGTTGGGGGAGCAAACAGACAAATGTCTCCGAGGATGCATTGAGGCTAAGGCTTTTTTCCCTTCTCTCTACAAGGAGGGGGGGGGGGGCTTTAGATTGGTTGGAACAATTACCGAACCATTCCATTCATACTTGGGATGAGTTGGCGGAGAAATTTATTGCTAAGTTCTTCTCTCTCGGCATATGGCTACACTTCGAGATGAGATTTTGGCATTCAAGAAAGAGCCGAATGAACCACTACACGAGAAATGGGAGCGATACAGAACAATGGTTAAGGAATGTCACAACAATGATATGACGGAAAACATGATTCAACAAACCTTCTATCGTGGGATTAACACAACGAACCAATGTGTAGTGAATCAACTTGCCAGTGGGAACTTTATGAATACGCCTTATGTGGAGGCATGTGAGATTTTGGATGAAATGGCGGGAACATCATTGGCGTGGCAATCCCGGGCCAATGTTCCACAAGGTGATCCGAATATGATCCACCTTCACAAAGTGTTGCATGACCATGGGAAAGCCATTGCCGAATTGACTACTACCATGAATCACCTAGCAAAGGCTCAACTTCATCAAGTGTAAATCCTAATCAAGTCAATGCCATGGAAGGGGCGAACATGATGGTGAACAAGAGAACGACCAAGGGTCCACAAGTGCAAAATTGAGTGGAGAACTATGTGCAAGAAGATAGTAGTTTAGAGCAAATTCTAAGTACCCCTTTAATCAAACATCAAATGGCGATAATCAAACATCAAATGGGATCCAACCAAAGTGGTTTTCAAGTTTGTTAATAGTGAATTGGTGCCAATGCTGGAAGAAGTCAGTAGCTTCATAGAGCTTCCATTTACTGGGAGAACGCCGATACTACCGGTTACCATGCCCGGCTATAGGGTTCTCGATGCT